AGCACTTGCAAACAAAAGTGCTGGAGTTACAGCAGGATATACTAGGACAATGGAACCGATTAAGTGTCGCACAATTGCATGAAAGCAAGTCGGTAGTGATGGTGTGAAAGCCGAGAAAACACTAAGAAGGAGGGAGATGAGCTCATACGGCCGGAGAGCAGCGGCAACATGCATGCAAGCGTCCGCTCTCAGCACCAGTACTTCAATAGAAATAGTGAATGTGGAGCTGTAACGGAGTGGATTAACCAAACCATACTGTTATATGAAATTGATCTAAAGCTATTTATTAATCAGTATATACTTTGGAGTTCAGTTCACTTTGCTTTTGTAATATAGACTTAGACTTTATTTATTGTCATTGCACAGAAACACAAAAAAACAGTGAATCTGGCAACGAAATGTCGTTGCCTGGCAACCGGAGTACACAGTACAAAGTACACAGCTTGCAGGCCATGAGTAATAACTTGAAGTAAGACATACTTCAAGTTATTACTCATGGCCTGCAACACATACATATGTATATAGATAGTGCAGAACAGACATTGTGATAAATATAAACTAATAAATATTTTACATGTGAATAGTTGAGTTCAAATGTGCGTTGAGATAAACTATAAGGTAAATATAAATATAAACAGTATGGAGTGACAAATATAACAGGATGGAATAAATATAAATATAGACAGTATGCAATATGGTACAGTAGTATAAACTAATGGTAAATATGCATGTAAATAGTTCAGAAGTGTGTTGAGGTAAACTATAAGGTACATATAAATATCAATAAACAGTATGTAAGTGACAAAAGTAACAGGATGGGATAAATATAAATATAAAGTACAGTATGAAGTGATCAATATAACCAGAAATAAATAGTAATAGTGCTGGAGCTGATTCACTGAAATTGAACAGGACATATTGCACAGTGATATTGCACTTAATTGCTCAGTAATCTTACACAATAATATTGCACTTTCCATTAAAACACAGACTGTGGGTAGTTATGGGTATTTAACAGCATGATGGCCAGGGGAAAGAAACTGTTTTTGAAACTTGTTGCATTCACTGCAGAACCTCCTGCAGACACACAACAGACCATTGTGGGGTGGGTGGGGTCTGAGTGAACCTGGTGAGCTCTGGCTAAACAGCGTCTGTGTGCTACTTCCTGGATGGGGGAAGTGGAGTTCCAATTATCTTCTCCGCTGTCCTCACCACTTTCTGAAGAGACTTCCAGTCTGAGGCCTTGCAGCTCCCGTACCAGACGGAGATGCAGCTGGTCAGCAGGCTCTCGATGGTCCCTCTGTAGAAGGTGGAGAGGATTGGAGTGGGGAGGAAGGCCCTTCTCATCCGTTGCAGGAAGTGCAGGCGCTTCTGGGCTTTCTTCACCAGGGCAGTGGTGTGTAGTGACCAGCCGAGGTCATCTGTGATGTGCACCCCCAGGAACTTGGTGCTGCTGACGACCTCCACTGCTGTGTGCTCGTTGTCATCCTGAATGAGGCCCACAACTGTAGTGTCATCCGCATACTTTAGTATGTGGTTGATGCCTGGGACGACAGTCATGGGTCATCAGGGTGAACAGCAGAGGGCTCAGGGCGCAGCCCTGAGGGGAGCTAGTGCTCAGGGAGATGACACTGGAGGTATTGTTGCCCCCTGGAACAGACTGGGTTCTGTCAGTGAGGAAGTCCAGCAGCCAGTTGCACAGGAGGGTGTTAAGCCCCAGGGGGCCCAATTTACATACCAGGTCCTGGGGAATGATCATGTTGAATGCTGAGCTGAAGTCCAGAAACAGCATCCTTACGTGGGTGTTCTTTCCCTCCAAGTGCTTCAGGCTCAGGTGGAGAGCAGTAGAGATGGCGTCCTCAGTGGAGCGGTTAGGCTGGTATGCAAACTGGAACGGGTCGAATGATGGGGGCAGTATGGTGACGATGTGGTCCTTAACCACCCGCTCGAAGCACTTCATGATGGTGGGACTGTAATTATGGTGGCTGAATTGAAGTATGAGGAGATGATGGCCTGGTTCAGTGACGTGTTGAAGATGTCAGTGAGCACGTTGGCCAGCTGGTCTGCACACTCCTTGATCAGCCGTCCTGGGATGTTCTCAGGACCTGCCGCTTTCCGTGCGTTGACTTTTCTCAGAGCTCTCCGCACAGTAGCGGTTTCAAGCCTGAGGACCTGATTGTCGGGGTGGGGGGTAGCTTTCCTTGCTGGTGTGTTGTTCAGAGCTTCGAATCTTCCGAAGAAGTTGTTGAGCTCATTGAGGAAGCTGATGTCATCCTGGCAGAGTGAAGGTGTGGTTTTGTAGTCTGTGACAGACTGGATTCCCTGCCACAGTTGTCTGGTGTTACTGGGGTCATGGAAGAAACCCTGGATCTTTCGACAGTGGACACAGTTTGCATCCCTGATGGCACGGTTTAGGTTGGCTCTCGCTGATCTGAGTGCCACCGCGTCACCAGATTTGAAGGCTGCATTACGTTGCCTCAGGTTCGTACGCACCTCCTTGTTCATTCATGGTTTCTGGTTGGCTTGTGTTATTATTGTCTCTGTTGCTGTGCCCTCCTCCATGCACCAGTGGATGTAGCCAGACATGGATGCAGCATACTCCTCCACATCTGTGTGACTCTGTGGACGGCCTGTGCTGGTAGGGGACTCCGCTGTTGTGTAAGACGCTGGGTCTGACCGACGTAGAAGACCAAGGCTCTGTAGAGTGGTCCGGGTCTCTAAGTTTACGTAGTCCAACTGTCCGAACTTGCTTAAACCTAGTATAACCTTACGGTCATATATAGTTATAGCACAGTTTCGCTTAGTTTTTAACTACAGAAAACACTGTTATAGATGGCGAATCTGATGATGTTTTGGCTGTGTAGCCGGGAGCCGAAGCAGCCGCTGCCGCACAGGGCGCCGCATATGGCAAAAAGGAAAATTAGAGGGGATTATAGCCTAATCCCTTTCAACAGTGGAATTAACTGCATATTTACATCACTTCCTGTCTCCTCTTGCAAGGTCATTACATTATACTGTAGCCAATTAAGAGACTATGTTAACAAGCGAAGCATTGCTCTTCTTTGTAAAAGATGATGTTTCCATCATCTTAGCAATGAGCCAATGAACCCAGAGTGAAAGAGAGAGAGAGGAAGAACACTGGGCTTGACCCAATTAATTCTATTACCCAGCAGGTTTTCCCTCTGCCTGCCCTGATTCATCTGGATCAATACAGTCACGTCAATCTAATGAATTTCTGAGGCAACAAGATGTTTACTTCCCATTCAAAAAGTATAATGCAGACCACTTTCAGAACATATCTTAATAAATGTTCCTTCAAACAGGTCTCAGTTAAATTAAATGCACTTTAATTTTGCTGTGTGTCTGTTTTTTGCTGACATCTAGACAGCAACTGACAATCTGTGCTGGTTACAAAGAGGTGGTTGTAGAACAATTGAGCTGCAGGCTGTTTTAATCTGATAATGACACAGGTGGAAGAGGAGATGCTGCTGCGTACTGTGGTGAAGTGGGGCCTGGAATCAGTCTTCTGTCTGAACAGTATGTACCCAGCAGCACATCATGTTTTTTTTCCTCTAGAGGTAAAACAATACCCAGAGGCGTGAGTGTTACCATGGACCACTGTACTGATGGCGTTATCATTAGCACCTGTACAGACTTGTCAGCCTCTGTATAAACAGCTCTGGGCAGCTGTGGCAGCAGTCATTGCGTGTCATTACATCCAAAAAGTCACAGCTTCACACACTTTCTTCCGTATTAGAAGATTAAAACATTCAGACTATTAATTATTAAAACCTGGAAGCTCCATTTTCATACTGATGAGTCGGCAGAACGTTGACCCTTCGCTTGGCTGATCAACCTATAGTCAGCCAGTCAGGAGGTGGACTGAAAGACCTGCAGAGTAGACCACACAGAAATGTGGTGTGTATGCGTTAAGACCGCACCCTACCATGGTTCATCTACTGCTGTTTATGAAGCATTGCATTTAGGGGATAAAGAAGAATCCAGTTTATATTTTTGGAGCCAGCACCCTCAAGAATAACATAAAAACCAAGAAAAGGGAAATGAATATACAAGCAGTTAAACCAACTTTATACCTCCATCTCATGCCTGACTTAGCAAACACACTCACACACGCAAGCAGTTCCTTACTTACCCTGCTAAGTTGCTCCAGCAGTCCATGGTTCTGTTCAGAGAGCTCACTAATGGCCTTGGTCTTGTCCCTGTCCGCTTCTCTTAGCTGAACCTGATGTCTCTCCAGCTCGCCCTGAAGCTGCTGGACATCCATCTCCAGCTCGGTAATGCGCCCCTCCCACTCTCCTTCTCGGCTTTCCAGACGCCATCGCAGCTCGTGCTTCTCCTGTTCCAAGTGCTGCATGTCAATATAAGGAGAAAAAAAGGAAACATTAGATTGTGTTAAACATGATTCATATGTACAAATGTCTATCTAAAGTTACTGAAACTAGTGGTTCATTAACTGATATGACTGGACCCCGAGAGACTTTCAGGAGAAAGGCAGGCTGAATTAACAAAAACAACCTAAGAATATGTCGACTGTTGAAAGCAGGAAAATATAATGTAGATGTTGTCAAGTCTTTTTAATTAATATTTGCAAGAGCAGGGAAAAAAAAACTTAAAGTTGAGATGATATGATGTTTTTCTGCAGATGCTCTGGAGTTGTTCATTTCTGGACGTAAGGTGTGTTGTTGATGTTGTTGTTATTATTAGAGCAGGAGCAGCTGACATCTTTGTGCCCAGTGTTTCCATTTTTGGGCACAGGCCCAGTCATGGAGAATCAAAGAGAATCAGAACAAGACCAAAAACATGGACAGCTCTCAGGACCCATTATCAAGAGTTGTGACACCATCATTAATAACCAGGAGGAGGCTTATTCTCTGAGCTGCACCAGCAGAATGAATATGGATCAAAGTGCTGAACAGATATACAGCTGACAGGCTGTGGACAGACACAGGATTAGTCTTTGTGTCACAGGCCACATGTTTGTCTGTATTAATAAAAACAACACCTCAGATGTGGACCTTTCTTTGTAAATAGTATACCAAAGTATCTCAGACGGACATTTCATATTTTGGTTATACTGCTCACAGTGATCATTATTTCTTTTGTGAAACTTAAAACATTGATTAATCTCCAATGAATTGCTCTGCATTTTAACACGTATTTAGTGCATAACAACATAACAATTTAATTAAATCAAAACCACCTAAAAAGCCTAAGACAGTCTGTTGGTTTCTTTTGATGTTAGAAGATTGCAAAATGTTGTTTAAGGGAGCTCAAAGTAAACCAAAACAGAGCTAAGATTTAGAAGATAGTAGAGAAACAGGTTATGACAGGTTAAGACAAAAATTAAAAATAGCTTGAGGTATGACAAAGCAACTGAAAGACAACAAACAAACAAAAACATAACTGTTAAAATAAATGCTATCAACACTAACGAGCTTTTCTCTAATATTATAACAAGTCATAATAAAATGGTAAAGCAGATTCAAATGTTTGATTAAAAAGCTCCACAGGTTTACACTGTGATGAGTCAAACTTCATTATAGGATTATAATCTTTTTTCGGGCCAAAGCAGAAATAGGCTTGTGACAGCACTGAACGTACATTGAGTAACATTTTCTTTTTAAATTTTACCTCTAATTTCTCATTGAGGTCTTTGTGCATTTTCTCATATTGCTTCGTCAAGTCTTGGTTCCTCTCTAGTAAAGTTTTTCCCAGTTTAGCAGCTAAAACCAAGTCTCTTTCCTTCTGACGGCAGAGCGACAGGAAATCTGCGTTGTGACCAGGCGTCTCTAGCTCCGGCGATAGCGGCTTCTCCTCCCCGTCCTCGTTGCTCCTGTCACGGGTCAGCATGGCCAGCTCCTCTTCCAGGGCCATACCAAGGCCTCCAGAGCCGGGGTGCCGCAGCGGGTGAGGCTGGAAACCGCCGCCGAGTTCCTGATCCCCGGAGCCGGGAGAGTCCCGGGGCTCCATGCAGTCGCTGTCCAGCTCGAGTGGTGCTGAAACCGCGGCAGACGTCTGCAGGTCAAGGCAATAGGCGGACATCGCCGCCCGGACTGAGAAGAAGCCAACAGATGAGAAGAACCGAGGAGGGTTCTTTTTTTTTAGTCCGGATGAACCCACCCTGCTCTGATTCGGCTGGACTGACCGGAGCTGCTTGTTATCGAGGATCCATCCATCACGCTCCTAATTCCCAGTTGAATCCTGATTACTCACGTCGCTCTCTCCTAGTGAAGCGCTGATCGAATCACAGCTCCTGCCGCTGTCTGTTTATAAATGGAAACACAACAGAGACACAGATTTAGTTTTCCTTATTAATCGAATTGGTGAGCTCTGAGGAGCGTTTGGTCGGTCAGGGTCCACGCTGTCTCGGAGTCCCGGCTCCCCCATAATGACTGATCGGTTACACCGGTGCCATTTCCTAGTGAAACAGATGAGCGCGTCCCTGATGCCTCTTCTCAACCTCTTTGGTGACGCGAGCAGCAACCTGTTACAAACTGTGACCCGATTGGCTGAAAACGATAGTGCCATATTTAGTTTTCTCTCTCTCTCTCGCACACACATGCACACTCATCTGTCACCGAGGTCTGAAGCCGTCCGATCAGAATGTCACCAATATCATTGTTAAGCCGAAAGTAGTTTTTAGAGAATGCAATTATATTTTAAAGTGCGAAAACACTTCGGTTTTTATACATATTAGATATTTTTTTAGAGAAATTAGATTTTATGTTGCATACAGGGAAAACGCAAATCTCCACAGTATTACACGCTTGCTCTGCTTGTTTTTAGGGAAGTGTTCCCCCGGTTTCTTGTAGATTTGTTTCATCTAACAATAATGTCAACAATAACGTTTTAATCCAGAGTGACTTTAATTTCGCCCTACATATCAACAGATAGTTTTCTCAAAGGTAAAAACACAACTCTTGGTTTTTACACTGATTCTTTGACAGGTGACACTTACATAGGTAAATCTCAGTCTAAACATTATAGGCCGTAAGGTGTACCACGAAAAGGCTACCGAAGAAGAGGAAAACTCACCAAAAACGAGTAAACAAACGGAATCTTCAGAACATAAACAGTGCTATATGCACATAGCCTCTGTGAGGCACGAAAAAATTCAGGATTTCACACTCGCACAGTGGAATAGGTACAGAAAGAGTCTAAAACGGTGGCTTGGGTTGAGGGGTGAGTGCCGATACGTAGCTGAAAACTACAAACACTGCCTGGATTTGGAGTTTGAAAGCATTCCCGAGAACGTTGCTTTCCATCCCACATGCTACCAGAGGTTTATTGACAAGAGTGCAACTGCAAAAGTGAAAAGGCGTCTCGAGTGTGAGAGAGAGGAGAGGATATGGAAGACCGCTCAAGAAGTGAGGCCATCCCATCAACATCGAGCAGGATGACTCCGTGTCCGACAAAGAAACTTAGACCCAGG